CAAATGACCCCTTTCAAAAATGAAGTTCATGCATTCACGCTATTAGAGTTCAAACTATGACCCAAGCACCATTCAATAAGAATTGTTAACTTCACATTTAACTTCTATAAAAATATGAATGGAAGCAGCAATTTAGCAACTTCTTCCACAGAGCGAAGCTCTTAAATTTCAAACATAAATTTGACAACCATAACCAAAAGAACACAAAACAAACCTTTCTTTGATGCAACCCAAGCAAAAGAAATGCTTTTGGCAGCTCGAACACTTAGTTAGACAGGAAGAAACACCACTCCCACTTCTTTGACACCAATGGCACCTTTTCCTCTTACCCCTTCTCAATTTCCCCACATTATACGGCAAAACCTGAACAAAAGAGAAAACCACTCAGAAACAAAAATTCAAAATCCCACAAAAAAACATATTATCATAAAGGTTAAAGTCAGAGCTCGCCTGCAATGTGCCAGCAGGCATTGGCTCGATGTTCTTGGACCGAAAGCACCGCCGCCGCATAGCAGCAGGCCCCATATCAACCCCAACCTTACCATCAGAAGACGAATTGGAACCTGCATTGCCGGAACGAAGCAGTGGCGACTGTGACGAAGACGAAGAAATTGCCATTAGGCCATTAGGCAAGTCTCTGGTGAGATCATCATGATCATCATCGTCATCATCCTCACTCTCTTCCTCCACAACCTTCTTCTTCTTCGTCTGGTTCCTCTTATCGACCTCCCTCTTCAGCACCATTCGTATAAGCTCCAAATTCAACTCGCTCTTCTTCAACTTCATCTTCTTCTTCCTCTTCTTACTTTTCTTCAACGTCTCCTCGGATCGCTTCCTCTTCAACAACTTCACCAAATTGTCGACTTTCCGTGCCCTAATTTTGACGCCGTTGTGGTTTTGATCTCTGCTCGGTGCGTTTTTAGGCTTTCTCTGGAGTTTGAGTGACTCCGGGACTTTCTCTCTGAACTGACGGTGCCGTCCTTGGAGATAGTGAATCTCGCAGAGCTTCATGTCGTCCATGACTCTCCGTTTGCACCGCCATTGCCGGCCGTCTGTCCGGCCACAGCGCAGATGGTCCGGCAACGCTCCCTCTTCATCCATTCAAGAAAATTGATTTTTGACTTTCCAGGAAGATTTGTGGTTTTCTCGGGAAAGCGCTTGCGAGTGGAAGATAAGAACGGGCTAAACTTTTTAATTGCGGGGGTAGAGGATTGCAGAGAGAGATTTTTAGGGGTTTTCAGAATTGTATTTATTGGGAGAAACAGTTGGAGAGCTTAATCTAAAAAATGGAGCAAGCGAAAGGGCATATTCCGTAATTAGATGGAAAGAAAGAGTCCAATTTGGTCTCGAAATCTTCAATTTGGGTCAGATCCTAAGATTCAAGAAGATAATTGCCACCCAATCACAATTCTGGGCAGAGTCACTGAACCAAAGCAAATTTCATATTGAAAGAGACTTTCTTTCTCTTAGTAGTTTGATGTTCATTCGACAGTTGAAGGCTCTGAAAGCAAGCTAATATATAGAGTGACAGTAACTATAAATGGATGCTTCATGGATCTTGGTGCAATTTTCTCTGTTTTTTTTGGGGCTATTTTTTATGCTGTTTTGATTCATGGGTTGGTTTTTATGTATTTTGTTTTTAGAAGTTGGACTTTTTGGAATTTGATATTGATATGGGAATTGAAAGCTTTCAGTTCAGGATAATGCTTTTAGTGTTTTTATATATATATGTCAGTTAGAGACTCAAGAGACTCAAATCTTATCTTTATTCTTTATTTGCAGAACAAATTTTTTGTTTGCTGCATAATATTTCCCCTCCTTTCTGTTTTCTTTTGGATTAAACCAGAAAAATAAAATATAAAAAACAAGTGTCCAATGCAATGCAATTGAGACTCTCCTTAATGAAATTGTTCTCTGGCTTTTCCTTATCTGAAGAATGCCAATTTGCCATGGAAACAAAGGAAATTAGGATATTATATGGAAACAAAGGAAATTAGGATATTATATGGAAACAAAGGGAATTGTTGTGTTATGTATATTCTTGTTACACAAGAAATTATGCTTCGCTTCTATTTTGTGCGATGCATATGCAATTGGTTCAGCAAAGCCGATCGAGCAGTTCAATATGGTCCAGCCACTTTTGGGCTTTTCCCATCTCACTGACGGCAATAGTTTCTTTCTGGCTAAAACTCAACTGGGCTTTGTGGTGCTAGCTTAGACTTTTGGCACCTCCCTCCAAATACATGCAAAGCAAACATCCTTTATCTAGTTGTGTTAATAACTTGAACCAAATTTGCAGAGATGAGGAAGATTATTATGAATTATATATAGATGAAAAGATTCAGAATTCTGATCATTTCTCAAACAATTATGAAATTAGAGAGAGAGAGAGAGAGAGGTTTCTTGAAAAATTCTCAAATTTTATTGGGCTTTTATTTAAAAGAATTAGATTAAGAAGTAGTGGTTGTTGTAGATAATAGTTCTTTTCTTTTTTGCAATGGCTCGTCTGCAAGCACAAGCACTAGCTGGCTTTTCTTTTTGTTTTTGCAACATTCTCTTGATGGCTCGTCTGGTTCTAGTAGTACTAGTTACTCGGTGCAAGTGGGAATTCGAGGAGGAGGAGGCCGATTTGTGTTGAGTAAGTATTGGTGTCGGCCACCACGGGAACACAAATGGGAAGACAGGTTTCGCAGAGTGAATCTCAAAATAAGAATACGGTGTTTTTGAAACCTCCGTTAACCTTTCTTCACGAATGTTGCACATGACAATGTGTTGAGCAATCTCTAGATACAAGATGTCCTCATTATTTGGGTCGAAAGCAAGCACCTCCATCGAGTAATACCATCGTCTTTGACGTGTCCATGACTTGATCAACGGATTGTCCCGATACATATCGCGCAGGATAACTCTACCTGCCAAACACCATTTGCCATCGTTGCCTGCAACTACGTCCATGTCCACGTCCCTGTACACGTCCATGTCCATCTGGTGATCATCTTTCAACTCCCAAACCTTCACATCACCATCGTTATCATCAAAATCCGCGAGGGTGAACTGGCACATTCGCAGACGCCCTCTACTAGACACACCTAGGAACTTAAATGGTCCAGACGTCCGCTCATCTGTAGGCTTATTCTCAATGTAACGAAAACAATATTTACCCGACTTTTCGTAGGGATCCAAACCAATAATAAAGCCCTCACCAGAGCTCCACCAGTAGAGCATTCCATTGTACGCAACCCCTGCATCGCGACACAACGTCCTAAAACGAAAGCTTCTTGGGCATGATACAACTGACTCTGTCCATCTGCCAGTCTCCGACGAGAACATCTCCATGTTGAATAATTCCAAGGATTTATCTGGACGTTTAGGAGGAATTATTCGCACCACCCTGTACCTGTACTCAACATTAACCCGGATTTCACTCTCTTCTTCTACTTGTTCTTCTTTTGGGTCACATTGCTGGTTCTTATCATTATTATAGTAGTAGGGTTCGCTGATGAATCCCACTCTTACTTCCTCGGGGCATCGAGGAGCAGGAGGAAGAGCATCCCATTGCCTGGTGTAGGGGTTGCAAATGTAGTAATCACGCTGAAAACTCATGGTTGGGCAGCATAAAACTAAGTCGTTACACGCTCCTACTACAATTGGTTGATACTCTGGTGTGTTGCTGCTGACAGACCCTTGAAAACAAGGGAGGAAACTCAAAGACAACTTGCGCTCCGGAGGCTCAGAGGAAAAGAATTTCCCTGGTTGCCTTGGATTCGTAAAGATGACAGTGCCCGAAATGGGCTTTTGGTTCTCACTTTGTACGCATAGAAAACGGCGAAGGAAATACGTATTAGAAGAAAGTAGACTGAACCAACGTTTGGACACGCACCTGCATACAACTGCAGATTCACGGGGAAGTCGACAAATGATTTCTATCAATACAAGGTCAGGGAGATCATCAAGATTCAACATGTTAAGACTCATTGATGTGCAGATTGATTGCAATTTGCAGAGAGAGATAAATAAGACTCGTGCCAACAAGCTCTCTCTCTCTCTCTCTCTCTCTCTCTCTCTCTATATATATATATATATATATATATATATATAGAGTCCAAGTAATTCCAAAAACAAGTAGGAAACGAATCAGCTTATTACTCATTGCTCTAATTAATAATCCCAATCGGAATAGGAAAGGAAACTACTTGTAGAACCTTTTAGAGTTTATTTATTTATTACCCTAGAAAATAAAAATTAATATTTTTATGGACCAACGTGAGTGAACTCATGAAAGTGTAAAAATACTAATTCATTAATATCCTACCTACAATATTTTATGGCTGGTTGGTAATCGTGAATTTTAAGTACAGCCATACATCCATACATTACATTCTGTATCAAACATTTGTTTTGTCCACCATCACATCCTTTTCCCGCGAATTAATTTAATTTAGTATTATAATTGTTCAATCTCTTGAATGTACCCGTTTCTGGGCCAGGAATGGACTGTAACAATTGAAGTGCTTTATGGGCCTGCCAAAGCTTACCCCGAAAAAGAAAATAATTTCCACATTAGATTTCTGAGCCCAGCCAACCCCCCCACGCCGCAATTTACAACATCATTTCAGTCCAACTCGCAGCGAAAAAGGAAAAGAAAAGAAAAAAATATTGTTTTGGGAACTCGCTTCAAGTCAATTAAGAAGATAAAAAAGAAGCACTTCAATTGCTTCAAGTTCTAAATCATGAATATCTGAGATCTGCTGACACAAAGAAACGAAAGCCACTCACTCATTTTCATTTCAGATGTTCGATGCTTCTCTTATACTTAAACACAGCAATTTCAATGTGTTATCTAATTCTCTTAGGATTATGTTGTACACCATATCTGGAAATTAATCGCTTTTGGCTTATATTGTTGTGTGGATTCATGTTAATGGTTTGTTAGAGATGAACTTCGCAAACTACTTTTAGAAGAAAAAAAAAAAGAGAAACAAAGAATATAAGCCCTGGAATGAATTGAATGTCCTATGCATGATGAATGCACTCAAAATGTTGTTTATTGAGAATATTCAACTTGATGCGTGTAATTGTTGAAGCTCTCAAGGTGTATGGTCTGCAAAAGCTTTGCTCGTCATTGGAGCCGTTTTGACGTAGACTAGGCCCAATCTTGAAACTCATATGCATAATTTTCAAATCCTGCATGCCAGTTATAGCTGAAAGAGATGCATTAAGATTTCATCAGTTACTTTTTGTTAAAAATTATATATTCTAAGTAACATCTGCATGAATGCAGCTTACTGGAGAAAAGTGTTGAGAATAAAATTGAGAGATAAATTATTGAACTCCTAGAGAGAGATTCCAAGATTGAACAAGTAAAATTCGAGGTATTATCAACATTACATATATACAATCTGAAATTGCTTCAAAGCAGAGGGACAAGTTTTGCAGAACAAAAGAAGACAAGAGGACATGAATGCGACTTGAGTTTCTTTTGGTCTGACATTGAGACTTGAGCTTTTGCTAATAACATTATACAAGGAAAGCGTGATGACTTGAGGAGAAAGAGTGAACTCCAACGATATGAGTTCAGCCCAACTCGCAGCCAACAAAAAGGAAAAGAAAAACAGATTGTTCTTGTTAGAGCCGAAAAGAAAATTCTCAACTTCCATACATCTTCCAGCTCAACATCATTATTCACTTAGTTCCCAAGCATTTAGTTCCTTTCCTGCATTTTCCTATCAACCAAACAAGACATAAGCCAAATAGAGCATACGATGATTACCCAGAGAAGAATCGATGTGTTCGCGGAGCTTCTGGCACCAGAACCTGTGCGGGTTTTCAGAGAGAGGCTTGAAGACCAAGTCTTTCCTCACCACATCTCCTCTGCTCGCGACGCAGCAGATTTCATCTCCGTCTTCCACTAAGGCTCTGTTACTGATCTTTGGACCTTCCGCTGCGAACCCGAGGACCTCCTTATCCACGATCAAGCTCCGTTGACCTCTCTCCGACCACCGGAGAACTCCGTCGGCGAATAGAGTCACCGGAGTGACTGTGCCGTTTATGAGGACGCGAACCGGTTCACTTTTCCTCTGGGATCTGAAATCTGACGATGTAGAGCGCAGACACCGGTTCACTTTGGTTGAGGTTGAATGACGCGAACCGGGTTTGTTGTTTTGATTTTGCGTTCTTCTATACGAATTTTTATAAAATAAAAAATAGCCAAAATTTACTGAAAATATCAATTTTTATAAAAAACTTCAAAATTAGTCAAAAATTCAGTTAAATATACCCAAATGCCCTCAAAACAAAAACCCATATAAACCTAAAAACTAAAAAATAAACAAGACACCACCATCCCCGCCTATCCCTGTTGTCACCACTCTTCTCTTCTCTTCTCTATTTCTTTCTTTTAATTCAACAACTCACCACCTTGTCAACCTTCACACCCAAGCCACTTTCCCAACCTCAAGGCCCCGATTTCCCAAGTCACACCCACCATCCTAACTCCAATCCACCCCACCCCAAATCTCTTCCATACCCACAACCAACTCCCAACAACATCTTCCCCAACCCAAGAATTCCCTGACCATTTGCCCCAACCCCAACCGCTACCCCAAGATCTTCCACCCCATGCCATTTTTTTTAATCAACAAAGGTACTTCATTTGTCATCAATGTTGTAAAACAATAACCGCTAAAAAAAAATTAAACTTGTACAGTTTGGAAAATAATCCATGGAAAAATTGAAAATATCTGAATTTTTTTAATGATGACTTCTTCAACTTCATCGAGAACCAAATTAATGTACACATCAAAACCAATGATTCGGCCTTCAATCAAGAGCCAAATCTAAATGCGAGCTTTACTTTGAAGGAACCTAAAAATCAAATTAATGGGTTGGGTCATAATCCTCTGGTGCTTGCCATGGATGTGAAATTCAATGGGTTTCGCATCACAAACAGAGGTTCTATGAAAAAAGACTTTGAAATCGAAGGAGCTCAGTTTTTTTTCTTCTTGTTGGGTGTAGCTTTGCCTTGTGTCACTTACCTACTTTTATCTAATGGTGTTTTCCTTCTTAGGTTTATGTGGGTTTAAATTTTAAGGGTATTTGAGTCTATTTAATTGAGCTTCTGGCTAGTTTTGAAAGTTTTTATAAAACCGACATTTATAAAAGTAAGGCGTGAATTTTGGCTATTTTTGATAAAAACTCATTGTATACAGTTTCATAAGCTCTATACACAACATTCTATTGCGAGTTCTAAAAAGCACAACCCTGGGTGTATTACACATTTTTCATTGTAACGTTTATATTATCTTTGCTAAATAATTATTTTTCCTTATTAAGTCTTATTGTTTTAATTTTCTCACTTGACACATTTTTTATTTTCAATTCAAACATGATTTTTTTTTATTAAAAAAAAACTCAAACACACTCGTATAAATGAGTGAACATTATTCAACATAAGCATTTTTAATTCTGAATATAAACTTACTAACACAAATTTTTGCCACAATGACATCGTCACCGTGACATCGAACAATGACATCCCATCAACCAGAGATCGTTGTACATATAGTAAACAAATAAAGACAATTTTATTTCGCCCAATTTGATTTTTTATTTAAGGTACGTAATTCTATTTTTGCCAATGGTGTTGGTTGGTTCCTATTCTCTCCTCAAAAGTCAAAAGCAAAGGAAAACCATAAAATTCATTTTCGGAATTGAGGAGAAAATTGGGTTGGAAAAAAGAAAAAAGAAAAGTCCAAACCTGAAAGGGCTGCAGGCTGCTGATCCTGGCCCTTTGAAATGTGCTGCGCAACAAGAAAAAGGCCTAAAAGAAAGAAGAAGACGAGAGAAGCCAGCCAGTACTTTGCCAAAATTGGATAGAAACATAATTGGGTGCAGCGCTGATGAAATTTCGAAAGGATTTCAATTCATCAACGCTGCACTCAATGATGTTTCTTCAATCTGGAACCTCCACAGCTCTCATCATCTGCATGCTTTGATTTTGAGCCACCCTTAAGTACTATATATATATTGTCTGTGGGCTGTGGCAACAAATGACAGTAAAGAACGCAGTACACCAAGACCAAGTTGTTGTTGTATTGAATCTTGACCTTGTACTACCATTTCGCTTTCTAACCTCAACTCTGTTACTTGCAGCTCTCTTCTACCTGTACTGTTTTATGGTACTGAAAACTTGTTGTACTACACATCTCCACCACCTATATTAAACTAACCCCAAACCTCTGCTCTCTCTTTCTCTCTGTCATTTTCTTTTACTATCATGATTAGAATAGTCTTATTATCATGTTTCATTAATTAGTTTGAGATATTTAAGTAAAACCCACTAAGTCCAATCTTGAAACTCTGATATATAATTCTCACATCCTACCTGCCAGTTATAGGTGAAATAGATGCTTTGAAATTACAAGCCAACAACCTAATTTCAAACCAGATTCTTAAAACAAGTGGTTATGGACTTTACCATCAGACCCTTTGTAAACCAATGTAGTACAATGCATGAATTTAACATAAAATGGACTGCATTAAGATTCCATTTACAACAATTGCCTAAATTGCAAACTTATGTGCATCAAATAATTACAATGATCAAGAGCAACAACTAAAATCTTATCTTTTACGAAAAACAATCTTACCCTCGGCATCTTCATGCATGATGGATAAAACTTGATTAGGAGGAATGTGTTGCCAAACTTGAGGCTTTCCACACAAATGTCCCATTTGAGCAAACTTATCAGCCGCTCTGTTGCCTTCTCTGTAAATATGAGTCAAGATGCAGTTGTTGATCTCTGGTATGATCAAGTTTATGTGACTAATATGCCTTTGCGCTTCTGCACATCGAATCTGTCTCCTTTGCACGATGATTTGAAGCAACGTCTTTGCATCCCCTTCGAGCCACACATCGCTCCAACCATTTTCCAGTACCAACTCAAGGCCTCTTCTGAGTGCAGCCAGTTCTGCAATAATGCTATTGGCTCTTCCTATAGGTTCAGCATAGCCAAGTAAGAAGTCAGCCTTATGATTTCTAAATAGGCCTCCAATGCTGGCTTTTCCAGCTTTGCCTTTAGAAGATCCATCAAAGTTCAGTTTTGTCCAGCCAATTTTGGGTTTTTCCCATGCCACTGGAATTGGCTCCTTGTGCAGACTCCGGAACAGACAAACCGGGTTTGGTATTAATTTCTCAAACCTCAAAATCTTAGTGAAGGCTAACATTTTCCGGCAGTTACTTTTCTTAAAAACTATATATTCTAATTAACATCTGCATGAATGCAGCACACTGGAAAAAAATGCTGAGAGTAAAATTGAGAGGAAGAAATGAATTATTTCCTAGAGAAAAAAGATTACAAGATTGAAGAAGTAAAATTCAATGTAGTATCAACGTTACATATGTACAATCTGAAATTGCTTGAAAGTAGGGGGATAAGGTTTGCAGAACAAAAGGAAGGCAAAGGTTTGCATGTGGAAAAGTTTATTAATGGCTAAGTTATGAAATGATTAAAACCTCAAACGAGGGTCATTAATCCTTTGGAACATTAGAAACTATTGCTTCACGTAACCATGCATTGATAAAGTTGGAGTGGAGAGAAGGCAAGGTACAATTCATATTTTACAACAACAAGGCAGCACTAAAGTAATGCAATATATATACTCAGATGATGAAAATGGCCAGAGAGATTTCTTCAAGAACTCTCAAACACATAATTCTGATTCTGCAGACATTTTTTTTCTCCTTTTGTTCTGATATTTGGACTTTTGAGTTTTTGCGAAATTGCATGCTTTGCTATTACATGTAGAAGGAATGCGTGATGACTTGAGGAGAAAGAGTGAACTCCAACATTGACCATTAAATGGTAACTGTAAAAACCTACTCATTTTATCCAAATGGGATTTTTTTAATATAAAAAATTGCAAATTAACTCCAATTTTCTATAAAATTGGTGGGAAATCCGAAAGGTAAGGATGCCTAAATTTGATAAGCTTTTTCAGGAATGAACTTGAGGAGGAGATATAGTGAAAGCATGCAATAGGGTCTTTGACATTGGTCAACTGTGATTGAGATGATCTAATCAGTTGCCTTAGATTTCCATCCCTACAAAATTACTTAGGCGGCCAATCAGAGGAGGAACAAAAACAAAATCTCCTCAACTGTGATTGAGTTTCTAATATTAGGCAAATCTCTGTTATTGAACTAGAATTGGTTTTCATTGCATCCTCCATAATAAAATCAAGTATACTATATATACACGTACTAACATAACATAAATCTAATCAAGATGAGAACACACACTTACATACAAGTGGCAATCAAGTATTAAACTAGCCTAACTAGTAGTAATCCGACTGGGACGTATATAATATTAACTGTTACATAATGAAATATAAAGATGAACATCAAATTCAGACCAAATTAGGGAAGGTGCAACTTTTTTTCTCTTGCCTCATCGGCTAGCTTCGAAACCTTTCAAATTAGTAGCTAGCTGCCTTGCATGCATGGAGTGAGCTGTCCATAATAAAATCAAGTATACTATATATACACGTACTAACATAACATAAATCTAATCAAGATGAGAACACACACTTACATACAAGTGGCAATCAAATATTAAACTAGCCTAACTAGTAGTAATCCGAATGGGACGTATATAATATTAACTGTTACATAATGAAATATAAAGATGAACATAAAATTCAGACCAAATTAGGGAAGGTGCAACTTTTTTTCGCTTGGCTAGCTTCGAAATCTTTCAAATTAGTAGCTAGCTGCCTTGCATGCATGGAGTGAGCTAGCTTTGTTTTTCTGTGGAGGAATGAGGAAGCACAAGCAATGGCTAGCTTTTCTTTTCTTTTTTGCAACATTCTCTTGATGGCTCGTCTGGTTCTAGTAGTACTAGTAGTATAAGCGGTTACACGGCGCACGTTGGAATTCGAGGAGGAGGAGGCTGGTTTGTGTCGAGTAAGTATCGGTGTCGGCCACCACTGGAACACAAATGGGAAGACAGGTCTAGCAGAGTGAATCTTACTATAATAATACGGCTTGTTCAAAACCTCCGTTAGCCTTGCTTCGCGAATGTGGCACATGATGATGTGTTGAGACAACTCTAAATACAAGATATCATCATCATTTGGGTTGGAAAGCGAGCACCATAACCGTGTTAAGCCATTTGCCCTGATATTTCCTTGTTACCATCAACGGGGTTTCGGAAGCATATCTAACAGGGTAACTCTGCCTACCAAACACCATCTGCCATTGTCATTGCATGCAGCGTCGTCCATGTCCATGTCCATGTCCTTGTACATCTGATGGTCATCTTTCAACTCCCAAACACTCACATCACCATCGGTATCACCAACATACGCAGGCAGTACTGGCACATTCGCAAACGCCCTCTACTAGACACACACATGAAATCAAATGCTCTTCCATACGCCGACTCCGACTCATCTTCAGGTTTATCAAGGAAATGAAAACAGTATATACCCGAGTTGGAGCTGTCGTTGGAGTAGGGATCCAAACCAATAACAAAGCCATCACTAGAGCTCCACCAGTAGAGCATTCCATACAACTGACTCTGTCCATCTACCAGTCTCGGAGGAGAGCATTTCCATGTTGAACTCGAAGGAATTCTCTGGACACTGAGGAATTATTCGCACAACCTTGTACCTGTACTCGACATTAAGCCGGATTCTACTACATGCATCACTTCTTCTTCTACTTCTTTTCGGTGGTCTTCCTCCTCACTTGCTGCTTCTTATAATCATAGTAGTAGTAGGGTTTGCAGTTGAATCCCACTCTTAAGAGCATCCCATTGCCTGATGTATGGATTGCAAATGTAGTAATCACATTGAAAACACATGGTTGCGCAGCATAAAACTAAGTCGTCATACGCTCCTACCACAATTGGTTCATACTCTGGTGTGTTGATAGGCCCTTGAAAACAAGGGAGGAAATTAAAATTCATGTTGCGTGTTAACAACTCTAGAGGATTAGAGGAGGGCGTCACAAAGAATTTCCTTGGTTGCCTTGGATTCGTGAAGATAAGAATGCGTGGGATGGGCTTTTGGTTATCACTTTGTACACATAGAAACGGCGAACGAAATAAGGATTAGAAGAAACCAGACTGAACCAACGTTTGGACACGCACATACATTGAGCTGCAGATGCAAGGGGAAGTCGACAAATGGTTTCTATCAATACAAGGTCGGGGAGATCATCAAGATTCAACATGCTGGGGTTCAAGTGAGGCTGAGCCTGAGGCTCAGAGTGTGGTTCAAGATCAAGAGATTGGGATATTCTCTTTCTTCTTTTGGCAGCACGAGGTTCAAGATCAAGACTTGGTCAACAAAAATGTAAGTTATGCAACAATGGGAACACACTGCATAAGGCTTGCTGCAGGCCTACTATATCTTTAATATGTCACACTAATCTTCTTCTATCATCTTAATTCAAGAAAGAAAACCAATAATTTACAAGGTTGCAAGAAGTAGTTCCTATTTGGTCTTCAATTCAGCCAATCATGAAATTAGCATTCAAACTAGAGCAACTTTATTTCTTGGTGATCACACTTCGGCTCCTTAAAATTTGCTCTTGCCAATGAGCCATAACCAGTCAAGGGAAACTCCTGCAAATATGCCGCACAAAAGACACAACACAAGTATATTTCCCAAGGCATTTTGCTCAGGTCCCTGCAAATCAAAGAACCCAAGACATTAATTAACTTTCATGAGAAACCAGTAAAAATAACTTTATATTTAGAACCATGTTTACCAACCTTGTAACCCTTGGGTGCCACCGTCATGACACATACAGTGAGATAACCATTTGTTAATCCTAAGACTGATGTGAGCAAGATCATCCATCCCTGGTCGCCATATTTTCCAGTGAAGTAGTAAGCTGGAACGAACAGGAAACGCGATAGAATTGTAATCATGAGGCCCTTTCTGGATTCGATCTTCAGGCATTTCACAAGGGGTATGTATCTTGATATCAAATCCAACACATTGTACATTGCCACC